GTCAGATGTCTAAACCCTAAACTGCAACTACTCTTCAGTTTTACTCTCTATGCCCTATGGCCATATTAATATACATCCTCATTTGTAGCACCACTTGCAATTCCCAAAACAGACTGAAACATAGCAAACTGTTATAATGGTGTTTGTAAACCTTAGCAGGTGACAGACTATCTCTGTAACTAAGAACCCAAAGCCCCAAATACTTTACTTAGGGGAAAAAAAAAAAAACTTAAAAAAAATCCAGTATTTGGGCTACAGACAAGCACTTCAACTCACATACTATCTCCCCAAAACCCCAAAAAAACATTTAGAATGAAGACAGCATGTGGCACAGGCCCAGTGCGTTGGGACTTCACAGTATCATGTATACTCTGGTTTTTTTAGAGCTACCGATGTTCAGAGTTTTGCAAACCATCACAAAGATGTTCAGCAAAACATGATATCAAAGCCTTACCTAGGGAAATGATTGACTTTCTGAATATCTGTAAGGGAACGCAGCAAGTAGGGCTTCAAGTGTGATCCTGTCCACATGAGATTATAATCGCTGCTATTAGGGTGTACCTAAAAAGCAACATAAGAACACCATACACAAAAACATAGAACTAATGAAAAGCACCACCACTTGTCCTACAGACTGTGACCTTATGTCTATGAGATCAAAGCAATTCTAGTTTAAGACAATCTCCTCTACCCATCTCTAATATTAGGGCAAATCTAGCCAGACTCCTGTCCTAAGCTACTGTACAGTGGTGCCGGGAAATAACCACGTCATATTTCTCTAAACAAACTTGTGGTTTTGTTCTTTTTATAGACTGTTTAAACCAAATTTGTAAAGCATTTTAGATTTCTTCAGGAAACTTGTGAGACCAATTCCTTAACTTGGTGTTATTCAGAAGAAAATCCACCATACACACACATCTCTCAAACTGTCATTAGCTGCATGTAGGACATTCTTTAGAGCAAGACAGGTGCTAGAAGAGAAACATGAAACACTACATCAATGCTTCTGTGAGCTTGCAAAGGCTGAGAGATTAAATTCTTCAGATCTTCCCAAGGGTGTGAGATGACGCTTTAAAAGCAAGAAGAGAAAAAACACATGGCCCAACTTCAGCATCCCTTTTTCCCTAATTTTGCAGGCTTAAGGTTAAAGGGTCCTCCTTTGAGAGAGCAAAATCACGACATATTTCGTGTCTGACTGGCAGAGTATGTAAAAAGCAAAACTTCAGGAGGGTCCACAGCAACTTTCTGGTTCTAACCCTGCAGAGTAAAAAAAAAAAAAAAAACCAAAACACCCAACCAAAACAAACCGACCACAAAACAAAACACAAAAACCCCAAAAACAACCATCACCACCACCTCCCAGTGCAGCACATAATCAGATCTGAAGTTCGTTGCACTCACCTCATGGAATCCATGGGCAGTCAGAATGCTTCGAACCAGACGGCTGTCTGTTCGCACAATTTTATAGGACAAGTGGTAGCGCTCTGTTAAGAGGCCAAGAGACACAATATTAGAGTCCGCATCTAGAAGAATAAACCAAAGTTACCTATGCTACCAAAGAAGAGAGAAGAGCACCATAGGACTCAGCACAGTACAGCTATGCTTAATCCACAGTGGAACATCCACACAGTAGCAGCACATAACAGGCAAAGGGTGATAGGAAATGCCTGTCCATCTCTTGGGGCATTAACTCCAATGATGGCATTGAACTGACTTACACCAATCCTTAGGTATAATATTGCTGCATCACTGAAGCCTATCGTATCAAAATAAAACACAAGACATCCTAACAAATGTCCAGATTTTTTTTTTTTAAACAGCTCTTTATATAGACTGCTTTATAACACTCCAAACATGATTTCAGCTCTTTCGTCTCTATTCAAGACTGATATTCCTAGCTATAAGTAATCATGCCATATGCCCCTCATTGACATGGCTAGCTTATATGATCACTTTTTAGATCTCGAAAACCCAAAATAGAACACTGAATTTTTGTTTACATCTCATTCACTTGTACTGATCTTCCAATAAATAACTGCAAAAAAAACCTAGGAAATAAAGTAAACAGGACAAGGAAAGAAAAAGAGAAAAATCACTATCCAAGTAGAAAGTCATAAAAACAAAAGCAGTAAGCAGCACTGGAGGCATAAGATAAACAGAAAGCAAGTAGCAAGACTAGAGTCCAGTTGTCATACAAAAGGATGTGGCAATCCATAAAAGAGTTCAAAGAAAGTAGAGGCAGAAATTGCAATGCTAGAACACAGAATCACTTGGAAAAGGCACTTTAAAAATTGGTTCAAACTGAGAATAGAAAGATGAAGATTAGATTAAACCTCAGGAAATATGTTCTACCAATAAAAATAAGTCTAAAGAAAAGAGTAAGAAGTATCATAATGTGGGACCGGACAAAGCTCAAGGAAATTTAACAAGTTGCACTATTCAGCAGTAGACTTTTTAAAGCACAAAAAGCCTCTACCTCCTGAGAAAAAGCAGAAGAGAGACCACACTCCAGTTAGGATACAAGTTACAATTACCATCAGCTTCTGCCACCATTCAAGTGTTTTTAACTCACATGAAAAGGATCAGGAGTTTCCACACACAAATCACCTTCTCTACCCCTTACCCCAATGTGCCAGAAGCATTTCTACTTGGATAGGATATTAGAAACGAGGGCACCAATTACCTAAGAAAGGGAGAAGCGAGAGAAGAAAGAAGTGTCAGCATCTTCACAAAAAGAAGCTGAGTAGATTTTTAGCTTTTCTCCAACTCAGCACATCCAGAATGAGCTCCCAGCTGTACACACCCACAAGTACTAACTCTCACAGTTATAACTGTTTATAACAACTCTGCCTCTTATTTAGAGGCTCTCCCTTATTTGATGACAGGTTTGATCTCCTGACTCAAGTGCTGCCAGAGCAGCAATCATTTTGTTTATGGCCTTACTCACAGTTGTGAGGCTGTAGTCACAGAGATTTGTTACTACAGCTTACTACTGTTCTTGCCACCGTGGGGCTGGCTGCTTTATTTCCCGGTGTAACCCTCTCAAAACTCACTGCAATGATTGAGTTTAAGTTCTTAGCTACAGAGTAGGGAATTTGTATTCTGGTCATAAGTTCTAGCATGGCCTCCAAGTTCAATTTGCAAGCAGACAGTTCCAACTCGAAACACATCAGGACCCAATGGAGGGACAAATATAGACACTTGTCACAACCCAAAGACGTGATAAACATTCACCAACTGAACAAGCGTTTCTGAACGTCTCAGCGCCCAGAGACAAGAGAGGATTGTAATTTTCTTCCTACCACGTCCTCTTCCCCACCACAAAGAGAAGGGAACATCCAAGTAAGACTTCCACCTCATGCCTTCAGGCCAAAAGCTGGAACATAGTTGCACCCACCTCCAATTAGGCGGAGGTAGCTGTCGTTGGTCAGAATGGCTTCAGCATGAAACACCAAGATGGGGATCCGCCTGCAGCCGCCACCAGTCCACTTGACACATGGATGATCCCTGAAATGGCAAAATAGTCAGTATAAGAAACTGCTGAGCCTCATACACACAGCAGTTACTTACAATGAGGACACAGCAATTCTCCCTACTTGCCCACCCAGCCTAGGACACAGGCAAACACACTGTGGGGAAAATAACCAAAGATTGGCAAGGAGAATTGTAAACACACTGAAGTGACTTGCAGCTGGGGTGTAGAAAAATACATATATCATTCTAATTGTTGTCTATCCTCATGTGTTTGACAAGTAGAACATCTGTGTTCAGATAACATAGGCCTGTGATAGACTTAGAGGCACCCTATCAAACGTGCTTGAGACTCCTGCCCTGCTGTGGGAAAGATCAAAGCACAGTGATAGACTACGCCTGCGCAAATCCCTGAAAAACAGGTGCAAACAGGAGGTTCGGTGATCCTCTAGCAAGGACCAAGCTCTGCGGTGCCTGTGTCCCCCGCTTGTGTGCCTCTGCCTGGGTGCTGCTTCGGGGATCCCCCAGCTGGCAAGGTAACGAAAATAAATTTACCCTTTGACTTTCAGCCATGGTTTTGTGGTTGTTCCTGCACCCTGCCTGTGCTGACTCACACATTTGGCGTAGTTGGCAGGATCCAGGAACAAGCATGCCATGACTGGCAAAAAAGTTGGGGACTGGGGAGGCCACAACGATGACTCCCCGTATTCTGGGATGGCTCAGCTCTGAGCGCTGGACTCCCGTGGCCACTTTCCTGGCTACATTGGCTCTGTCGGAAGCATGGCCTGAAATGGATGACGGGGCAGTGGTTACCCCCCAGACAACTGAAAAGGCTATGCACGGATTGCCATGGAAAGCAGCATCAGGTTCTTCTCGCAAGTTAGCGGGGAGATTGGGATGGTTATTAGTTACTGGTCTTAGAGCTCTTGACCGTGAAGTTGTTGCATTATGGAATAAAATGAGAGAACTGGAAAAGGAAGTTGGGACTTTACAAGATGCAAAGGCAATTGTGCATGAAGTCATTACTACTCAAGCAGAGCAGTGCCATGGGTTGCAAGATACTGTAGAAGGGTTGATAGCATGTATTGCTAATAAATGAGGGAGGGTGCGGAGTGAGCGTGCGGCTGTGTGGTGCTCAGTTGCTGGCTGACCACGACAGTCCTTTTTGGCACCCAATGTGAGGCTCAAAGGGTGAGCAGATTTGATTGGAATGTGCTAAATCAAATTTATAGCTGTTATTTCTGTTTAGCTATTAATCGGCAGGCTTCTGTGCTTGCCATGGGGCTTGCTTGCCTTACTGTGTATTAGAGTCTAGTGCTCATTAGTGGCTGCTTTTTGCTTTCGCTGCTTGCTGTACTGTTTATCATCTGACTCTGATGTGCCTGGGAACATTTTGAGAACAGCAATGGCTCATGCGTTGATTACAGGATTCAATCCAGACAGGGCAGCAGTAACGAGAAGTATCAAAATGCAGCTTTTGAGAGGAGCATCTGCCTCACTAAAACTCTTGATTATACCAGCAGTCACGAATGGTCACTGGTAACGTAGGCGCCCTAGCAAATAGCTTGAGGGAAATTAGAGCTGTAACTTTGGGACCATCTGCGCGGGTGGTGGATAAAGGAAAGCCGGCAAAACCAAAAGGAGTTACATCACGGGTGATGAGGAAAAAAATGTGGAATGATCTTGAACAAGCCGGTATCCCACAGTCACAAATAGATGGGATCACAACATCAGAAATGTTTTGCCAACGGCAAAAGTTAGAGTCTACGCAAAAAAGCCTGGCCACACAGCCAACTCTGCACCCATCCTCCATCCCTGCCTGCCACCTCAAAGCAACGCACTACCTGGCAAATGCCAAAACAGCAGAAATGAAGGTTTGGCAGGTCCCCCAAAATTGCCGAATCCTATTTGGCCTGTTTGAAAACCAGACGGCACTTGGAGAATGATTATAGAGAATTGAATAAAGTCACCCCCAACTTGCCATTACAGTACCAGACATGGTTACTCGTATAGAAAAAATCAGCAAAAATTTAGGAGATAGCATTGGAACGCTGTTACTGGTGTCGCGAACCCAACATCGAATTGAAGTTCAATCTGAAAAAGCGCAAGCCATAGCTCTTCAATCCGTGTGCACAATTACCCCACATCAGGTTATCAAACCCGGAGTAATATTATCTGAAGGAGCTGGAGCAATGGCATATGTATTACTGGAACAAGATGACACTCTTGTTTTCCTCCCTTATCACATGTTGGCTCGTCGTGCTTTGTAGTGCTTGTACTACAAGCACATGCCCTGGATGCATTTTCACAAGATCAGCATGTAAATACTTGGATTTGGTTGGCCTCTACTGTAACTAACTCGTCTGCCTTTTGTATTGAGGGAAGATTAACAGCTGCAGATCTCTTGACAGCGTGTTTCATTGGTGTGCCAACCCCAGTATTCCGTATTGTCACAACCCAAAGACGTGATAAACATTCACCAACTGAACAAGCGTTTCTGAACGTCTCAGCGCCCAGAGACAAGAGAGGATTGTAATTTTCTTCCTACCACGTCCTCTTCCCCACCACAAAGAGAAGGGAACATCCAAGTAAGACTTCCACCTCATGCCTTCAGGCCAAAAGCTGGAACATAGTTGCACCCACCTCCAATTAGGCGGAGGTAGCTGTCGTTGGTCAGAATGGCTTCAGCATGAAACACCAAGATGGGGATCCGCCTGCAGCCGCCACCAGTCCACTTGACACATGGATGATCCCTGAAATGGCAAAATAGTCAGTATAAGAAACTGCTGAGCCTCATACACACAGCAGTTACTTACAATGAGGACACAGCAATTCTCCCTACTTGCCCACCCAGCCTAGGACACAGGCAAACACACTGTGGGGAAAATAACCAAAGATTGGCAAGGAGAATTGTAAACACACTGAAGTGACTTGCAGCTGGGGTGTAGAAAAATACATATATCATTCTAATTGTTGTCTATCCTCATGTGTTTGACAAGTAGAACATCTGTGTTCAGATAACATAGGCCTGTGATAGACTTAGAGGCACCCTATCAAACGTGCTTGAGACTCCTGCCCTGCTGTGGGAAAGATCAAAGCACAGTGATAAACTACGCCTGCGCAAATCCCTGAAAAACAGGTGCAAACAGGAGGTTCGGTGATCCTCTAGCAAGGACCAAGCTCTGCGGTGCCTGTGTCCCCTGCTTGTGTGCCTCCGCCTGGGTGCTGCTTCAGGGATCCCCCGGCTGGCAAGGTAACAAAAATAAATTTACCCTTTGACTTTAAGCCATGGTTTTGTGGTTGTTCCTGCACCCTGCCTGTGCTGACTCACACACACACGCTAGGCACCCTTGGTAGTCAGCTATAAAGGGAATCTTCCAGATCATCCTCTTTTTGGGTTGGTCTTGCTAAGTCGGAGTCCTGTTGAATTTGTATTTATTTTACTGAGTATAATTTGGGAGAAACCCCATCAGTTTTCACAGCTCCAGTTCTCTGGATTTAAAGCCTGAAAACAGGATCTATAATTCAGGATAAACCATAATTGCTGTTATCCACACAACCAGACCTTACAATGCAGGTTCCAGCCTCCAATTTAAGAACTGCAAATCAGTGTGTGCTGCCTGGTTGTAATCCTGGACTCTGAAGTGCACAAAAAGGCACTCATGCAGGCTTGGCTCAACACAACACAACTTGTGTGTTCTTCCTTTTTAATTTCTGCCAGATGCAGTGGAATGCAAGCCCAGAATTCAACAACGATGCCCCCAGCCAACCACTCAAGCTACAGGATCTGAGATACAGTGATCAGTTCTGTCCAAAACAACAAGGCTACATTGGGAACTATTGTCTCCTCAGAGGAATTAAGGACACACACCAAAAAAAAAAATTAAGATTGTTATATAAAATCCTAAGATCACAGAAAGAAAACCTGTCAACTTCCCTAAGCAAATAAAACTCAGGATGCTTATTACTCACTGCGCAAGGACATGGAACCATGAAAAATTTAACAGAAAACAGAGACTGAGCGGTTGGAGACACACATCTCTCTCTACACAGACAAGAAGAAATGTAGACTGGCAGAGGTAGATAAATGCTTCTGTGTATAGAATGTGCAAGATCATTGTCTGCCAAAGGTTTGGAGAAACTACAGAAGACAAAACACTTCCTACACTTATGACACAGGAACAGAGATAAAAGGGCAACTTTCTGATGCTAGGACAAGTAAGTACTCTTAAGTGTAACCTTGGTCCTCTTAACCAAGTTATTACCGTTATCACCCAGACAAATTAACTTCACAGCACTCCCATCTGCTTCCACCACCTCTAAAGAAAAAAAAATTAAACAATATCAACTACTGGGGTGTAATTAGCTGTTCAGACTGGAAAGGACCCAAGAAGCTTCCAGAATTTACACTACAGGCCAGAGCCTTACATAAGTGGGAAATGAGCTGAGGCAACAGAAGGGGAGTTATGTTAAGCCTGTCCTGAGGATTTGCAGTAAGGCTCAATCCTCCAGGTGACAGTCATTCACTCCTAGCATGACCCTTGGTCACTTGATACAGACACACTGTTACAATTACATTCTAGGTGAAGGCAGTTCTGGACCTTTTCATCCACAAGGGTCTGGCAAGTCTAAGCCAACTAGTTGGTATGAAGCAACATTCCCCTAAATGCCTTAAGTCACTGCAGTTTGCAGCTGGGCACTCAGTCAGAATATGCACCCAAAGGAAAACAAACAGGACATATTAAAGTAGGTCCAGCTGAAACAGAAAAGCGATTTCACTCTGGGAAAGAATAAGTGAGCGACTCCTTCACAAGCAAAGATAAAAGAAGTTACTAAACAAAGATGGAACAAACATACACTAGAAAGTAATAAGAACTCTAGGAGCTGAGTTGTCGCAAGACAGTTTTTAAAAAAGAACATAAAACATTGCTATCAGTCTACTGCACAGTACATTTCCATTCTCTGCAGCAAAGTAAAAACTAAAACAAAACAAAAAACTAAACAAACAAAGAGAAAGGACATTAATTTCCTTCATTTTCTTAAACATCAGTAAGAAAGTTCCCAGCTTAGGAACATGACAGGAAGAGATCAATGAAACCACAGACTTGTAGTAGTTTATGGAGTAGCCAAGGAAGGGCTGCACCTCCAACCCTGATGAATATGGTGGTCTTTTAGGCTACAAATGTAGGTAGCCTGCCCACAGGCTTGAGGCGCATCATCTTCTGCTTTATAGGTAGGAGGAAGGTAAGGAATGCAACTGTCTTTTCACATTAGTACAAATCCTGCAGGAAGCGCAGGGAGATAGAAGCAGTTAAGAAGTTTTTTTCCTACTTACTCCAGCCCATCTACAACATCTTCCTCCTCCTCCTCTGAGGACGAGCCAGTTTCCTCCAGATCTCGAGTCATCCCAACTGGCATTTCCTCTGGGAGTTTTCATACAGCCCTGTCTCAGTAGCCTCCAAGACTCCTTCCTGCAGATTCAAGGGATCTTGCAAGAGCAGTTGCCTGCAATAAGGATTAAAAACATGAATGCATAGCTGAGCAAGACAGCAAGAGAAACGAGGTAACTTAACTCCTACCTCCTGTCAATACATATTTCTCACAGGACTATCAACAAGCTTGCAACAGGCTGTAAATCACCTCCTAGCCAGGGGAGCGCAGGAAGAAGCATCACCTTCCAGCAGGTTATTCCCCACCTGCCCGTGAGAGTCATTCAGACGCTTGCCGCTGAAGCGCGGCCCCTGCCCTGCCTCCAGCCGCAGAACCGCACCAGGCTGGCCAGGCCCAGCCCAGCGGGAAACCCCAGCTTCTCCTC